AACATTTTTATATCATAACATCTTGCTTAAACCAAACGTAAGAAAACCAGCGAAAATAGCATTTCGGACACCAGAAGCCCAAAGATACTTTCCACGTTTGTCTAGGGATAATAATGAATTGATAGCTTTGATAGGGGTCTAATCAGGCATTCTTATAAGAATGGGTATCTGATAACTCTCATTTGACTAATATGCATGCTATTCCTGTATCCCTTAAGTACGGCTTTGTTGGAAGCAAATTTACCTACAGTAAGAAATCTTTTAAAATATGATGCATGCACATTTTCTATAGCTTCAAAATTTTACTCCCCAAATTTCAGATCCATAATAACTGGATTGCTGCTGTTGTCAAAAGTAGGGATGGTGTTTAAATCAGATGCAAGGGTTTTAGATGTCCCAATTTAATCAGCTGGAAAATAAAGACCCAAATGTTTGCCATATGAAGCAAGAATGTGCCACTATACCCCCATGAAGACAACTATATTGGGTTTTACAATAATCTCTAGCATTGTTATCTAAATTCAGTTGTTGGCAATATAGCTTGTTTATATTGTATTGTTGTCGCATCTATAGTTCAAATGTTTTAGATGTTAATTACTAGTTTAAATTGAAATCTACCAAGAGAAGCAAAATATAAGGCTAGTTGTTTTTTGTATAATGTACGAGTTTACTTAATACTTCTTCGTCAAGTAAAAATTAGAACTTGCTTTAAGTCACGATATGGCTGAAACTATTGCCGATGTGACTTTAACAACTATCTTAACTTACTCACTAACTAGACGGGAGAATGGCTCATCATTGGAAGTCTTACTGAATACATGCTTCTTAAAATTTATACTATGAATACGGCAATGTTTTCTTGCAAAGAGCAAAATGGAAAATAGTCTCACCTCGTAAGTCTGTAACCTATCAGCTGATATGGGGAAATTTCGGGCCTCGTCATTCCTTAACAACCCAGCTAAACGCTTCCTCTGTTATCATTCATTTAGAGGTGGGGTTTACATGTTTTCTAGAGTCACATACAATAGCTATATTCCATACGTTAGGGATCATCAAGGCTAGTCATGTCGATCCACGGCTAGTAGCGTTCCCGCCATAATGATACTGTAATGTGCGGAGAAATGTTCTGTTAGGAACCGTGGTCTTATACACTTTCTTTGTTAAACTTTTTTAAGTAAAATAATTGTTCATGACGCTTATAATGTATGTCACTCAACAGGGTGTTTAATAAGGTCACTCTAACGCATTAAAATCAAAATTTCAGAAATGGCAGAGTTAACACAGTTTCGGTGTCTAACAGTCGATTCAGGACCTTTCCTTATAATGATACCATTGGTACGTATGAAATATTATATGGTCGATCCCGTTTTCTGGAGATGGATGAACGCGCATCCAAAATATCATGGGAAGCTTGCGGGCGTTCATCATTGATTGCACAAATAATCTAGTAATTATCCGACTCCATATAGCATTTAACCTGAAAAAGGTAATTTCATTCCGATTATAAGCATGTTCTGGACAGTTTACCTCTTTACGGCAAACCCAACCAAAACTTCACGCTGATTGATAGCTCGCTGCTGACATGGATATACTCATCTGAACAAGCTGGATATGTTCAGCCACACAGTGTTAATTATTCGTAGGGTTTTCGTTTATCCTGTACGTATATTCCGGGTATATAGTCACCTCATAATGTAAAATACTGGCTATCTGCTGCCTGGTTATATCACCTAACAGGATTGAACTTTTGGGATTACCGCTTACCTTAAGCCGATGTCTACATCGTGATTATGTCATGGTTCAGACGATCTTTCACCGTTTGGTGATACAGAAGACGGGAGGTGCAGAGTCATCAAACGGTGAAAAATGAGCAAGTTACGACCATCTGCTCGACCAAAAACGGCAATATTCTCCGAATAGAAACTGATACTATAGTCGCCTGGCGTGCATAAATTATCAAAATAACTCTCCGTCATATGCTGTGCAAGCTTGTCATAGTCTTAATAAACTGTATACTCATGACGATTTACAAAAGGATAAAAACTGGATCTGAATTTTGCGTGTTTATCACAGGTAAAATTACAAAACTGGGTTTGTCAAATACTTATCCCCATAACTAATCGAGTCACCAACGGGGCCATAGGCCAATTTCCTATCTGGACCCTATAAAATGTGAGGCCTGGTGATGAGCAGCTGACGTCTTGGTATGGGCTTGATTACAGATGAGCAGGTTGACTTCTGCTTCAGCCGATCTTGTTATACTCATGTTTTTATTTGGGAACTCTTAAAAAGCTACCTTGTCTTCGTCCCTTGCTGTATCGCAAAGGGAGGCTGTTATCCTGTCCGTTTTTCCAATGTGGTAATTGTGATTGTCTCAGGTTCGCCTTCCTGTTGATAAAATCTTTTGTTCTCCCAATGAACCGGACTTGCTATGCGAGCGATGGAAACAGAAGTCTCTTCGGCATGTTCAGATTGAGAGCACCTTATCTGCCAACTGTTGCAATCACCCTGGCGGCAATCAATTACATTAGCCCTAAAATAAACTGCGTGTAGTTAAGCCGGTCAGTTCATGTTGTGTGACACGAGTGTTGTGAAGCGATAATGCTACTCATGTCCAGTATTGCTAGTGATCTTCTGACAATGCCCCTCAAAACAATGACCGGATATGCCACCCTGGTATGATTTCCGTACAGAAGCGCCGTTCGGTAAACCATCAACAGAGTTAACGGATTTTTCTGTTGCTGCAGGATCTGACATGGTATTTTTGATACTGGTTATTATTCTTGTCCCAGTGTTTTTACGTTACACTGTTCAGATCAGAGACTTACCAGCCATTTATGTTATGCCTATCAAAATGGTATTGTCGTCAGCATCAGTCACGACAAAATTCTGAACCCCCTGTCCAAATTTTGAAGTCTCACCACTGTGAAGTGTTGTGTCCGTCGTATCCAACAAAAATGCTGTTTAATGGCGCACGTTTTCGCCATTTCAGCTACCGTAGTTACTGAGGAATGGCCTTGGGTTGAAGCCCAACTAAATTAAGAACGGCTTTTATAACACGCCCTACATGTGAATAACCTACATTTTCAGCCGAAAGATGCCAAACGCATTTAACTGTCTTGCCACTATAAGTCTTCCCTTTCATTAAGTCGATTCCTGTGAATTTGGGATTAAATTTGGTACCGGCAGGTGCCAATGGGGATGTCGATTCAACTTCTGTAATAAGCATATCGAATATCGACGTCCATTTGTAACTGGTCACACTTCTTTCTGCCAGTCTGTGCCAGTATCTAAACATGAGCATTAATAAAGCGTTTAGAGGTTGCGTGGGAAGTCCGTTTATATTTCTGTTTCTGTAGTTGATGTAGCATATGTGTCTGTTCTTTCACTTTCTTAGCGTATTTATTGTTTTGTGATTTTTACTTTATATACTCCTTGGATGAGTGTGCACCTTGAGAGACAGAAGATTGGTGCGAATGTGAATTGGAATTGGTGCTGGGGTTGTGAGTGGACACAAAAATCGAAAATGGGTGGAGTGGGACCGGAAGAAGTAGACTGTCACTTGGGATATATGATTGTTATTGGAATCGGGGTGGGATTTAACAGAAGGCTAAGGTGTTGAAGTAGGAGATATTTCATTTGGGAATTGAGAAGTAGAACTGAAAGGCTGAAGAAGAAATGTGCTGGTGGGCCAGGGATTAGGAACAGGGGGTAACCTATGAAAGCAAGCGGGTGATAATATATAGGCCATTGGGTTGACTATTATGGGGAATTGAGGCATATGAAATCCGGGCGGAGGGCTTGATTGTGGTGAAGGGGTATTTGCGTCTGAGCTGGGATGGACTAGGGCAGTTTTGGGGGGCGTTGTCCTCTCTTTGGTTGTCATTTCAAATCGCTGTTGCAGAAACTGTGCCAATTAAATTTTCGGTGAAGGGTCTTGCTCTTCAGAAAAATCCTTCTCTTCATGTCTAGTTGTTTAATTTTGGTATTTAATTTCCTGCTTTTCCAAACAGGTTGAAACAGTTGGAGGACTAACCCCACAGTAATTAATTCCACATCGATAGGCGGAATTAGATTGGGGTTATCCGTCCGAGTAAATGTTTCCAGACCAGCTTCTTTGAAAAAGCCCTTGTCCACAATTGCGATAAAGCAAACAATAGTACACCTTTATGAATATATGTATTGTTACATTTATGGTGGACATTATATATGTATGTGTGTGTGTGTATATATATATATAACTTACAAAATTACGATGACTAGCGACGCTTTATAGAAAGAAAACACTAAAACATTCACCCCTTTTCATATATTACTAAGGTAGAAACATATTTCATTGCATAATTCATGTTGGAAATTGTGAATGAATCATAGGGGTACAGTGATGACACCAGGTGTTCGCCAAAAGAATGAACGTGGCCTGCCCTACCAGTAGCACTCGTCATTCACATCTCATAGATGTAACATTGTTCAATCAACTATTGTTTATACTTTAAAGTACAACCACATAACATAACGATAAATCTGTGTACAATTGAAATATTTGCATAAGTGTTTCTGAACTTGTCTACGTCACTGTTTCATTACAACCTGTTGGTCAGACCTTCGGACTTTTGCAAATTCAACATGTGAAAAAAACATTTAGCCATCTAACTTTAACGTGTAATAAATGTAATCATGCACATAGGCATAGGTACTGATTGTCCATATTACAATATCCCCATGGGTACACCTATTATATATTATTTGCATCAGTATTCTTCACGAGATAATGACAGCAAATGCGATTTTATAACGCATCATATTACGAAAACTTCCCTTTGAAAATGAACAGCAATGATTTCTCCCTATCCAAGATTCCATTCATTGGAATAATACAAATATGATCTAAGAAACAATAATAAACTTTGAAATATGTAAAATTTACCCGCACCCTCGATCCGATCACTGATGTCTTGATGAGCACTCGCTTCCCTAAAAGACGACAAATGCAAGGAGGATGGTGTCACAAGATCTATTTATTAATTACGACAGCACGAAATGTACATGGTACATGCAAAATCTCAATATAATATAAGCGGTCGATTGAAAGCAATTTCCTCGTGGCGAGAATATCCATATGATTGAATGATGTCATGAGAAATCAGTCATTCATGTCAGTGACAGCTTCGCAGTGAGTACCCAAAATGCTACTAATAGGGTTCCTCTAATATGAGTTACAAATGAAGCCTAGGGTTTACCAGAATATCTAAACTACAAACAGAACAATTCGACACTTTCAGTCAACAGCTGCACGAAGGGTTTTATGTGAGTTCGACAGAGGGTTTGTCAGTTTCCTGTGAGGAATCTTAGCGTGTCCTTGACCCATGAACAAGGCAGGCGTGCTTCTGTAATTTTCTTGAAAACCAGTGGGATGCTGTTGTACAAAACAACCTTAGCGCTAAGATCATCTTAACTAGGCTAAGGTATGAGAGTTAGGGTCACCTTAGCGATGAGATCGCTTTGTACAACGGCACCCAGGTGTCTTGTAGTTGTTCCTAGGTGGAGGCCGACCCGGAAGTCGTCTGCTCCGTGTCTGATCCACCGTCACTGTGTTGTTCTGTTGATGTGAACCCTACTAGGTATACAGGATTCGTATGTGTATGTGGAATGTTGTCCGGCACATTCCTTCAAACAAAAATGAATTTTATCAAACGTCGACACCACAAAACAAACATTTACATGCGTATTAAGATACCATCAAAGTGAACAATACAACATGCAAAAGCAAACTCTAAACAAGTGATGACTGTGAGATCTGCCTTATCAGACAAAAAAACAATCATATAGTACCATGCCTATTACCAAGTAAAAGTAAAAATATTACTTACCAAATGTGACGTCTTTGTCTGTACTTGCGACTTATGTAAAAGGCAACACCTGGACAGAGCAGAAGAATGCAGACAAGTATGGCAAGAATTTTCGGGATGTTCAGGAGACACTCATAGGTCGCCAGTTTGTCTTCGCAATCATACAGAAGGGAACAGGGGGTATTCAGACATTCGTTGATTTCCTTCTCGCAGAACTGTCCTTCGTAACCAGCTACACATTCACAGTGATAGGCTTGAAAGCTGGTTGCTCTGTCTGGATGTTCACATGGTAAATTCGGGTATCTTGGAGCACAGCTACCATGGTAACATGGGCTGGTGAGGACAAACACGCGGATGGACAGGGCGTGGCTGAAGCTCTTATTCGTATCTAAAGCCAGCAGAGAGAACTGGATGCTCCCATGGAATTCCTTGAGGGTCCTCAGCTTCAAATAATGTTTGGTCAGAGTTGTCCCTGAGTATATCATGGACATGCTTCTGTATGTCTCTTCATCTTCCCCAGGCGCATCAACCTGTGTAAGTGTAAAGTTGGCTGCCAGTCCCCTTGCATCCTTTTGAAGGATTGTCAGCTCTTCAGGGTCATCAACATCTGCGATCCAAAACGAGCCCAGCGAGTGATCCGTCAGATTGCCTTCAACATACACCTTGTGAATACTTTCAACAAATGATGGTATTGGCGACTGGGTGTCCCTCTGGTAGAAAGTAACAGGTGGATCATTAACATTTGACACGTTGATGAGTATTCTCTTCGTAAATGTAGATGATTGTATTCCCAAATCATGTATGAATACCTCAGTTGCATTTACGAGGATACTATCATAGCCATTAAAATCCTTCTCTGGTCGGTAGGATAGCATTCCCTCTGCTGTGAGGTTGGCTTCACCGCGATAAGGATGCTCCTCTACTGTAAATGTTAAATTGTCATGCTGCAGATCGTGGTACTTGATGACTTGCTTCACAAAGCTGTCCTCGACGCATTGGATAACACTGGTGTCAATGATGGGAGGTGTATTGTTCATATGTTTAGACACAATTGCACCGGAAAACATTCTTGGACTCGAGAAAGGAAGCGTTGCCCTCTTCTCGCGTGTATTTGATTTTGTCAAGCTTCTCTTAAATACTAAATTGCAGATCTGAAAATATTAAAGTTCAGCATTATTGACTGATCTGTATTACTGATTTACATCTGCCACTAGCAATACTATCATAGTAATACAAGGTGAACAGTAATCGCGCATGGCTATGTCACGTGAAGATGTGTCCGATACATCGAGGTACATTGATAAAGATACCTTGGTACAGAGGTATTCACATGTGCAAATATCAAACAACATGTGAAATCCTGATCTCCCAATTAAACTGTGAAATGTCCCATTTCATTACAGCACAAATGCAGAAGTTTCACGATCACCGGGTCTGCGCACTACGATTGCAATCTCGGTATTCAGTTGTGCCTTCACATACTAAAACCTCCCGATCAAAACAGTCTTTGTTGTTAATAATGACAATTGTCAGAGTTATTTTCCCTATTCCTGATGCCAACTGACAAGGACATCGCCATGTTTGTGAATCCTGAAAATAGCACCAACCTGCCATTTCAACTTATTACTCATGTATCAATTCAATTCAATTCAATTCTTTATTGTATGAAAGGCCATAGGCCCATATACAAAAGAGATACATCTTGACAATGGCATATATAATCAATTTTCTAACTAATCAATTCTTTTCTTAACAAAAATGCATTGTAGATAAATAGAGCAACTTTAATTTTTGTGTTGTTTTGGAGGTTCTTTGCAGGAAAGTAAGGAAGACAATAGATTAACATTGATTTGAGATAAAGACAGTTGCGGTAGATACTTATTTCTTAGATGTTCATATACAGGACAAATAAACATAAAATGGAATTCGTCTTCAATAATAAAACAGAATGGACATAATCTTTGGTTTTTTTTCCATAGAAACATATCTTCCACGGTTAATTAATAAATCATTAAGGCCTAATCTAAACCGTATAAAAGCATTGCGAATATTTCTGTATTGAAAGTGAGCAAGATAACACTCTGGCTCAAGCAACGACTTAAACTGACGATATGAATCGTATCTAGAACTTTCATTAATAGTTGAATGCCATTCCTGCTTAAACATATCAATAGCCCGCATACGAAACTGTTTAATAAACATATTTGCATTGACAACTGTCTGTGATAACCAAATACAACCCAAACAATATCTAAATAGTAAGGTGCGAATATGGGATGTCCAGTTATTCTTTCCAAGATAATCAAGATGTAAAAGCATATTGAAAGCTTTTTTAGGTAAACGATGTTCAGGCATATTAATTATTTTACACCAATATTTTAAAAAACGACAATAAGATGTTATGTACAATGGGAACCTCCCACATTCACCATAAACCATAACATTTGGTGTTGACAAACCAACATTTAGAAACTTTTTACAGGCAAGCAAATGAATTTTTTCTATGGTATAATACTCTTTAAAACCCCACATTTCAGATCCATACAGTAAAATCGGTTGTATCTGAGAGTCAAATAATTTGAAGTAAATAGTCGGTGGAACAAGACCGAGCATAGGAACAACAGAGTGAAGTTGTAAAAGAGCTTTCTTTGCTCTCCTCGCCAGGTTAAGTACGGACTTATTCAGATTCAGCGTATGGGTAAACAATATGCCAAGGTATTTATAATCATTCACAACATTCATACGTTTATCTTTAAAAAACCATTTCTCTCTAGCCGACAAAGGACCACCTCTTCGGAATATAACGATGTTTGTTTTATCTAGATTCACACTCAACTGCCATTTATCTGTATACGCTGAGAGTATATCTATTTGATTTTGAAGACCACAAACGACCCCATCGCATAGCATCTTATCCGTTTGCCTTATCCTACCTAGACATCTACCAACATGGCATGTAATTAAGTTTTCTTCTTGTGTTAGGTCTTTATGGTAAGCAACTTGTGCCTTTCGTTGCATATAATATGCAGGTTCTAAAATGTAACTAAGAAACAAGGACATGTAAATGTAGAAATTGGAGCAAATGGTACCTGAGTGACTGAGTTTAGTTTTATGCCGCACTCAGCAATGTCATCGAAGGACAGGAAAAACAACTAGAATATCACAGGTATAAATATAAAACTGGTGTGTCAATCTAAAATATTTCAATTACAGAAGACAAAACAATATAAAAACAGGCTAAATGTTGCACACGACCGAAAGTAGCTCACAATACCAGGGACCATGGGGACTTACATTGCCTTTGCTACCTACATGGACCCTAGCTCAATCAAACCATCCCTTCAGCAGCTGACGATTGTAGGCAAATTTAGCCACAAATGAAAATGGCAATAATACTTCGAGTAAAAATGTGGAAGATTATATTTTACTTCTTATGTTTTGGGGCTTACGTATCCTCTTAGGAGGACAATAATTTTAAGGTACTTCAACCTCCCTTGAGTATACCGCCACTAACAATCTAAGTATCTAACTCAATTACCAATGATAAAATATATATCTATATACAAGACATATCGATCAAAATTTATCAGTTGGTTCAATTTCTTTTGAAAATTCAATAATTAAATGATAATTAATATTGCTAAAAGATCCTTAACTGTTTTGGCACTGAAATATTTATCCCTTGTGACTGACAAATCAATACAGTTAATAGAGTATGCACCAGACAAGCCCGTGATCAACAGCATGAGCATCGATCTACGCCACGGCGATACGATGACATGCGTCAACCCAGTCAGCGAGTCTGACAACCTGATCCCGATAGTCGCCTCAAACGTCAAGCATGGGTTTTACTGAAGATCAAATTCTAACCCGGATTTTCACTGGTGGAGCAGATGGAAAAGTACAAAATACTACAAGCTGTTGCACAATGTATGTGGCAGTGCATACCAGAATTTTAGCATACATACCTGTATTGCATGAGAATCATTCGTTGAAACGTTACTCCTCAAAGAAGCAGTATCACAGATTTCACTGACATGGCGCCAGACATCGTCACCTGTGTGCAAAACCGAAACTTGATTGGTACAACAGATGTTGTCCTTATAAAAGGGGACGGAAGTTTACGCTACAGATCTGGTTTCGATTCTCACCATCGGTAAAATGAGCGAAGCAAAGTAAACGCTAGCTGCATATAGGAAAAAGCGGCGTAAAATTATACACAAACGTTCCTTTCAATGGTCCTTTGTATGGTGATCTACCTTCAGTTGTTGGCGATCTATAGTCTATGTTTATTTTGTATCGTCCACTATAGTTAAAGTAGTTTAGATTTAATTACTTGTTTTAAATATATATATCTGTGATAGACTAGTTGGTTTTACTGTCCTTTGTCGACAGATATTTTACATTAATTAATTTATTTTCATCGCTATATGGCTGTAACATTGCCGATGCGATGTAAAATTTTAACTCAGTCACTCACTCGTTCCTTTCAAAATGCGGTACAACGCAGATATGCTTAAAAAGGTTTTATATAGTTGCATTTGTACCGGAGTCCCATAGAATGATCGCTGATTCCTGGTGTTCATCTACTGGTGATGTTGGCAAATCAACGTTGATGTCTTCTGTTAGTTGCACATTGCTGATCGGCGACAGGTAGAAAGCAGGACTAACAAACTTGTAGAGCCTGAAAAAAAAATTAAATGAACATGCTTAAAATATTGTTCGTTATTTACTATGTCATACTTCGTATGAGAACATTTTTGTAGAAGTGGTGTTGATATCCCATGATTTATGTGAACAGAAGTACAATTCATTGATAATTCTGATATGTGTACACGCACTTGCTTCAGAGACAACAACACAAAACTTCACCTTCCAGTGAGAAACCGGGACAGCTGTGTGGAGGTGATGTCGGGGCTGACGATGTAAGGAGAATAATTCACGGCGGCCGGAGCACCGTAGGCCATGTGTTGATCGGTCTTGCTCAGTACACCGACCGTTAGGGCGCCACTGGAAACTACACAACAGCAGCCGTTTACTAAGGGTACATGGCACATCTTGCAGAATATACAGATAAAAAAACATCGTAATTGTCTCGAAATTTAAGCCAGGTAAAACAATGTTAATTCATTAATAGCAGCTGTAGGGTTTTTGCTTGAAAGAGCTGCCGCTACTGTCTAATGTTCTGATCGCCTTACCTTCCACTGATATTGTACAAACAGAACGATTGTGCTTTGCCAATGACTCGGAGATGACATCGCCGTCAATCACAAGTGTCTTGTTGGTACCTTGTTTTACAACTATGTCTTTCTTGCCTGGACAATAAAAAAGTCAGGGCGTGAGTTAATATTCAGCGTCACATCGGCAATATGTCAGAAATTTCGTGATGAGAACAATTTTGTTTAATTTTAAAATCAATAAATTCAGAACGTAAAAACCTGTCATCGAAGGACACTAAAACTTGAGTATCACAGCCCTTAATCTAAAACCAGTACGCTATCATAAAAATATACCACTCTGGACAACAACACAATATAAAAACGGGCTATAGATCACCAGCAACTGAACGCTGATCACCATACTAAGGACAGGAAACAACACTTTCTTCCACCTATGAAGTCAATGTCACTTTCCCCTACACCACACGCCTCTGGCGGTTAACATGTAAAATGGTGATAGCCTTTCTTGCCGTTCGTTTTTTTATGCCAACCCGATGTAAATGTCTCTGAATTGTCCTGCTACAAACTCGAACATGGTGTTGAGAATTAAAATGTCAGTTATGTCAGTAAGGGAACGTCGCCTGTTTCTGGCGAACAACACGGAAAAGTCGCCTATCCCCCCTCAAACCAATCACACGAGGCCGACCACCACGATGTCTGTTTTCTGTGCTTTCTTCAAATTCTTCGCCCAACAGTAGATCTGAGAACTGCTAACTTTTGTGCAATGTTGCTATTTTTCAAACCTTTTTGATGCAATTCAATAAATATTAGTAATTCATTTTGCTTTTCTGTCAGTTCCTTCGCATTGCGAGCCATGTCGTCTGCTGGGCACGCGACAGATGAAAACGCAAGCAATGACGTCATAAACGGTGTCATATTTCACAAGCAAATGTTAGGCGGTTTTCGAAAGAGAGACTCTTGTTGACAGTAAATGCTTCCGGGAGATATAGAGCAAACACGTTTCTTGCAATACTTTTGGCACGTCACTGTACATGTAATAATTCATCTTGACGCCAGATGATATCAATAACGGCGGTATCTGTAAATCAGCCCCACAACTTGATCATTCATTTCATCCATCCATCCATCCGTCCGTCCATTGAAAAGCTTCCCAGCTTCCTTATTTCATTCATCTGTAAAAAAAGTGCCATTTTCACAATGGATGTAATCATCATAAATAGGAGGGAAACTCAAAGTGACCAGTTGCTTCTTATGGAAGCGGAGGTGGGGAAGTGAGTTAAATTGCATATTTTATGCCTCACTCTGAGATCTTGGTTTCGAATCCCGGATGAGAGGGCTCCAATGTACAAGAATCTCTACTATACTGAGAAAATGTAGTCCTAAAGATAACATATGATGCATTTCACCCCTTTTTCAATATCATCTTGACGTCACTGTAAAAACGTTGGAATGCATAAACATGCAGTTCACTTGTGTTATACCAAATATGACTGTAGTCAGTTAGCAGAAAGACATAACATTATGTAGACTCCTCCAGAGTGAGTGAGTTAAGATTTAAAGTCACATCGGCAATATTTCAGCCATATCGTGACTAGTTCGAAATTCATAATAAATACATATAATATATAAAACCCTGTTCATGAAGGACAGTAAAATTACTAGGTTATCACATGAGGTAAAACTAGCTAGCATATATCTTTAAAAGTAGGAAAATATATTTGAACAATACGATATAAAAATGGGCTATTGATCGCCAACAACTGAAGGTAGATCACCAAACCAGGGCCCATGGGGACTTACATTAATTTTGCTACCTGCATGGACCCTAGTTGGATTTACACCATCCCTTCAGCCATTGGCGACAGAAGAGAAATTTAGCCATAAATTAAAAGCATACATATTCTACGATTAAAAACGTGGCAAGCCTAAATTTACTCTAAATGTGGACTTGAATCCTCCAGAAGCAATGTTTTATCATCTGAAACAGATCGGGAAATTCTACTATATGTCACGACAGATACTATTAGATTTCAATTCAATGAATACTCTAAGCACACACGTATATATATCTCGTGCCACAATATGATGTAGCCTATATTACGTATATATTGCCATCATTTTGACTTTCAAGGGGGGACTCCATTGAATTTTCTAATAACTAACCACCAAGGCATATATTGTGTAATTATTATGCATACACCTTTACAATCTGTTGTCACTCAATTTGTACCCATATTATTCTTCAGCAGCATAGTTGTATTGTATTGTTCACTGTCAGAAATCGGACATGTCTTCTTAAAGACACTTAAATCAACTATATCTCACAAATCAATTGTGTCCGTGAAAGAACTCCTCAACAGGATCAGGTTCTCGCATGTTGTTTTGGTTTTTCTCTTCTTTTCTGTCAAATAGCTCTTCAGATTTTAAAATGATTAATCCCGTGTTCTGAATTTCACGCTTATGTGTATTCTTTGACGGAAAAGTTTCTGAACGGACGGGTGGACTGACTGACTGACTGACTGAAAACTTTTTACATAACATATTACATGGTTTTACAGAACATTCCAGTTTAATGGATCTTGATAAAAACCAATATTGTTGTTTTTCAAAGTAACGGACGCTTAGCTAGGCCTGAACAGTGATTTTTTTAAATGACAAGAAGATTGTTGTAGTAAATAGTTATAAATACCTAGGTGTATTATATTCTTCAAATCATATAATGGGAAACTGTATTGCTGATTTAGCGATGAGAGGTGAACGTGCATTAATAGAAGTTATTATTAATCTAAGTAAAGTCTGAATGGTAAATTGTAACATTTTCTTTAAAATAGTTGAAATACAACCAATCTTATTATATGGCGCAGAAATATGGGATATGCACACATTCGATAAATTAGAATAAGTTCATTTATTGCATGCAAAATATTTTAATTGTTAGCTCTCAAACCCCGAATGCAATTATATACGGGGAATGCTTCAGGTATCCGTTATATATTAACGCAATGTGTAAAACATTATTGGCATGAAAACCGGATCCCACTTAAGGTATATTAAATGCAATTATATTACTTTAACTGTGGTTTCACTACTTATGCATCATATATTCGTAGATCACCATACTAGGGACCATGGGGACTTTTGCTACCTGCATGGACCCTAGTTGGATTTACACCATCCATTCAGCCATGCATTAAAAAGACAAATACTGTACGATTAAAAATGTAGTGAGATTAAATATACTTTGAAAGACGTGGTCTTACATACCCTTTCAGGGGAGCAATAATTTTACAATATGAAAACGGGCTATGGATCACCAGCAACTGAAGGTAGATCACCATACTAGGGACGGTGGGGACTTTCTTGTTACAACAATTTGCAGTGTTTGTGATGAGTAATCTATGTCAATTCAATGTTTTAAAAGTGCAGGTTTTGATTTCTATGAAGCTTAGTCTCACATTTCAGCATCATGAATGTTTCCTTACATAATAGTCAATGAAATATATTTTATTACAATTTACCGCAGTGTTATTACAGTTTGCCGCAGTTTATTACATTTTACCGCATTATTACAATTTACGTCGTAACACACTTCATTGTAATCTTCCCCGTTATTGGAATCAAAATTAACTTTCGTCTTGTCCTGTTGTTTCTGATATCTCTGAAACTCAGCGACATAATTTGCCGATGATGAATTTTGGCAAGAGGTTCGCCAATTATATTGCAATATAAGATTTGTCAGTAATTATATGATCACCATCATTAAGATATTAAACAGCACATTTTGAACGTTTGCCTTTAATTCTTTGAACCATGTTCCATACCTCAGACACTGGCGAGCGTAAATTAATTTTGGAGACATAGTTCCTCCACGATTGCCGGGCTATTTTTGTTTGAAGGTACGACTTGCCTTCGCATTGAGGATTTCAAATCTATTTAAGTTATGGACAGTTGGATGGAGCTGGAAATATTACTCTTCCTTTTCCCTCGCTTTTTTAGCTTGTCTACAATGTGTATTAAAGCATGGTTTTTGAACACGTGGGGTCATAGAAGACTTTGGTATACACTCATCACCATTTTATTTACATCACAGATCATTTACATCACGGACACAGTCAGGTCGTAGTTTCTATTTACATATAGTTTGAAATAAGGACCAGTCAGCCTTCGAAAAATTCCATCTTGTATCAGACTGACTGAGTTTGGTTTTACGCCACTTTTAGTAATATTCCAGCAATATGACGGCGGGGCACACCAGAAATGGGCTTCACACATTGTGCCCATGTGGGGATTCGAACCCGGGTCTTCGGCGTGACGAGCCAACGCTTTAACCATTAGGCTACCCCACAGCCCCCGAAGAATCAGATGAAAGTATGGTTGGGAAGTGGTCACAATCAAATTCATTGATGAGGATAGAATCTGCAAGAGATAAATCCAGAAAAGAGTGAATGTCAGTGGCAGTATGCAGATAGAAGCTTGAATCATCATTGTATATGCACCAATCATTATTGGAAATTAGATCTTCTGGTATCTTGCCTTTAGTATTGGTATTGGTACTACCCCAGAGTGGGTTGCTGCCGTTTAGCTAAGCCAGTATAACAGGGCTTCGGGAGTTGATCATAGGGTGACTGAAGATCAGTCGGCTGAAATGCCGATGAAGGCAGAATATATAGAGAGCATAATGTAAATGGTACACTCAGAGCAAGTGTTAATTGTACCAGGGCTGTGAATAACAGGAAAAATAATAAATTTTAAATTATTTGTCTGTTTCAGGTACGTTTCTTGCAGACAGGAAGCTGATGGTGTGAAATCCTGGCTAATAGCTGTATTTCATTAAACTTTGTCCGTAGTCCTCTGCAGTTCCACTGCACTATATCTTTAGATATTTTTTATTTTACTTTGGCGGGCGACAAGCTGTGTGCCCTAGAATGGACGTTTTCGGACATACTCATGTCCTCAAGTGATCCTTATTTGTTAAATAATTTAATTTTATCGTCTAACCCTATTGGGGCTCTGCCACTTTTTCTTTCAAAGAATATGGCTTCGGTTTGCCTTGTTTTTGACGTTTGTGTTAGACTAAGACCTTTGAGTTCACTGGGAAGATGTGTCACGATCATGAGATGGTTGTACTTGACTTTGGGTTGTGCCAGGAAGTGGTACTACAATTGGTGTAGACATAGCAGGTGACAAAATCTTAGGAGAATCGGTTTTGACCCAAGTCAAGTTCGTCTGACAGCTTATAGATATTTGGTTACTGTTGGGGTTGTATCAGATGCCGTTTTGGCTATGGAAGCATAGGTTTCCTTATTTTCATATCTTAAGACAATATTTTAGGGACCAGGAAAACTAATGGTTTTGGGTGAAATTTAGCTTATTAATCTCCGTCTACTGTTTCCAGATCGGACAATCTTTTGAGAATGATGAGTGATAGCTTGCGCAGTTGGTACATTTCTTAAAGTCACGGTCTCAATTTTCTGTTGTATGTGTCTTCTCACCACAGTGAGCACACACAACAGACAATGTGCAAGTACTGACACCATGACCAAACGTTTGGAATTTAATATTTAATATGTAGGTGTCGAAATACATTTTACAGTGTCCTGTCCTTAGTGATCTGGGGGTATTTGGAGAGGAAAATAAAAACAGGTATGCTTTTGTCTGAATGGTTCCCTGGTTTTGACGTGTTGTAAAATGCTTAATGTATGTGACCCCTTGATGTTTCATTTCTGAAATTCTGAAGTTCGGACATCTATCTCTAACGTATCCTTTGCTGGTGTTAAGCGTTCTATGAGGACAGACTTATATCGGAATGTGGACGGACGTTTCAGAAGCCGTAGGTTAGTTGCCTGTAGTCTTTTGATGCACTCAACAAGCAAACAGTTTCAACTTTAATCTCGTGTTATCTTAAGTCTCAGTCACTACAAAACGTGGCCAGTAATGAACGGATGTAGACAGTCTTTGGCCGTGAACATCTGGATCAGTGTCAAGTGGACGTTTTATTTTTTCAGGGTTGGTGTCGTAAGACATGGTAAGTGTTTAATAGTTCATCATCCGAATTCCCAACCCTTCGCGGAGCATCACAAGGATAATGCTAGTATTTAAAAATTTCCAAATCAGATTTTATGTAATTACACCAAATAAATGCACATGACCTTGCAAGTCCAGCCGATTGGGAGGCAACTAACGGGATCGGGTGGTCAGGCTCGCTGAATTAGTTGACACATGTCACCGTTTCCCAATTGCGCAGATCCATGTTCATGCTGTTGATCACTGGATTGTCTGGTCCAGAGGCGTTTATTTACAGACCGCCGCCATATAGCTGGAATATTGATGAGGGTGGCGTAAAACTTAACTCATTCATTCACTCACCAGCCGATTGATAAAACCGGGCCCATTCTACAACCCATCTAGGTAAAGTAAGGGCTGAAGTGGTGTGTTCAAGTGAACACTGTTCCTGGAACCCGTGCCCTCAGCCACCAGAATCCCATCCTCCACCGACACATTCTGCACTAAAACATCATATATACTACTCAAAAGATGTTAAGGGTCAAACGAAATGTGGACATCAAAATTAGAATGGGCAATTTTGAGACAAATAGGGACAGGAAACTTTCTGTATGGGTGTTATTTGGACTGAAGACATCATAACTTCATGACAAAAGTTATCATTACCCGTTTCATTAGGTAACTGTCAAATCTAACCGTAAATTCGGACTTCTTGATTTGAACCATGAACTCGGCTACACTAAACTGACCCTCATCAGCGAAACAACCATTATGCCACCTAATGCACATTTTACACGTGCTGTCCATGGATGTCATTTTATGCATGCACATTTTCACAATAAAAAGACCAAGCATTTTCAAATCGGCCTCATTTGAAATTTGAAGATGATCAGACGACAGCTCAGCATCCAAGACAGAGGAAGGGCAATAGGTTGGCTTCAAGATGGTCAAACCCAAGGAAGTGTTGCTAGGCGACTAAATGTAAGCCAAAGTGTTATCGGGTGACTATGGCAGGGGTTCAGGACAACAAATGCTGTCCAGAATCGGCCCATTCCGGAAGACCTCGATCAACAACAGCCCGCAATGATCGCTACTTGATGATGATGGTTCTGCGACAGCGATTTGTGACCGCAAGACATCTTCAGGATCAGCTGAGAGCTGGCCGTTGCACCAACGTATCCGATCAGACAGTTCAAAATCGTCTACGTGTCCGACGTTTGCGCTCTCGACGTTCTCCAGTCCGACCACCACTACTTGAGCGGCACAGAAGAGCTGGCCGAGATTGGTGCCGTTGGCATGTTCGTTGGAACCGTGATCAGTGGGCACAGACAATCTTTTCTGCTGAATCCCGCTTCACACTCCAGTTTAATGATGGTCGTGCCTGTGTTTATCGTCGCCAACGAGAGAAGTATGCTGACGTCAACGTTGCTCAACGTTTACCTTTCGGAGGCGGAAGTGTGATGGTCTGGGCGGATATCTCAGTGCACCACAGAACTGCTCTCTACATCGTCAATGGGAATTTGACTGGTCTTCGATATCTCATCGAGATTATTCAACCTCTGGTAATGCCACTGCTTCGTCAACTTGGACCAGGGGCCTGGTTCCGGGATGATAACGCTAGACCCCATCGTGCCAGGGTGGTGACAGACTTTCTGCAGCAGCAGAACGTTCAGCACATGGTGTGGCCTGCTTATTCACCCGACTTGTTACCAATTGAGCATGCCTGGGATGAGATAGGACGAAGAATTCAAGCTTATCACGTCCCTGCCATCAACCCACAAGAACTGGGTCAACAACTAGTCGCAGAATGGGCAGCAACCCCCAACAATGTTTTAGGCGTTTAATGAATAGCATGTGTCAACAGGGTCAGGAATTCATCCATGCTAACGGTGGCTACACGAGTTATTAAAGATTTCTGGCTTTGTGTGAACTCTGATTTTGGGGTACTTGACTTCGATGAATTGTGGAATAAAGTTGTGCTAAACAATTCACTTTTTGTTTTGTGTTTTCGTTTCTTTAGAGCTTGAGGTTTTGTTTTTGTCATTGGTTGTCACAATTTTATTTCCATATCTTCTATTTATATTCCAAAATACTTGTGACCCTTAACTTCTTTTGAGGAGTATATGAATGTGCTGTGAGAAAATGAAACACTCTTAAAATTCAAAACAGATTTAACCATGAACCATGCTGGATGGTTTGGGTTGACAAATCAAGAATCATAATCAGGAGACGTTTGGTGAGTCAGTGAGTTAAAAACTTTAAGTCACATCGGCAGTATTTCAGCCATATCTTGACTATATCAAGTTTATCATAGATATCAATTTTAAAACAAGTAATTAAATTTAAAATATTTTAACTATACATGACAAGACGATATAAAAACAAACTATAGATCGCCAACAACTGACCAGATCACCGTACTAAGGACTTACAGTATCTTTGCTACCTGCATGGACAGGACACGTTTGGATTCAAACCAGTGACAGGTGGATCCCAGCAAAGAAATAGATAAACTGACGACATCTCAGAACACCTGTCCAGTTGGCCCCAATAAAAAAGAAGGAACAATAAATCAGGTTTTGTCTTACCAAAATAATCAACATCACTATGAGGATCATCCCACTTGATTCCAACCCGGTCATTGTACTCGATAACTGAAACGTTCAGTCCGGCTACATCTTCTGCTGAGACAAACAGTGGCACTGGTTCAGTAGAGGAAACTGTGGGAGATTTAATGTCAACGATAAATGGACAGCATGCAGTGTGGTTGAGACCAGCAGAATTAACCACGGTAACGCCAACAAAATACTTTTGATCCTGTTGAAGACTTTCGTTTGTTGAACTCAATGTTACATTCTTCAATCTGTTTTGAAGGGGCATTTGAACAATATCATGTAGTCCACATTTTGTTCCAATTCCAACAACGACTGCGTTGATGTCACTAAAATCCTCGGATATCTCCCACTTAGCACTAACAGCATGATCATTTCCAATGTACAGTGCAGGTTCATACAGCGAGTAGTCCGGATCAAAGCAAGTGACATCAGTCACCACTGGAGGTGTTGTGTCAATGATGATTGCCTCAGACTTGATTTGTTTTTCATAACCAGCATGATCAGTTACTTTCACATCAAAATAGTAGGCACTTACTTGGGTATCAGTGTAGTTAATACGATCAGTCATCCGAGACGGAGTCAGTGTCAAGTTGCTGAGTTCAAAATGCCTGATTGATAATCCCTGTTGGTCTGTACTCTGGGAACAGGAACCTTCAAAGCCACAACTTTCTTTGCAAAGATCCTTGCAAGGAACACAAAATGACATTTCTTTTTTATAAGGTACTATATTTGCAGTTGTGTTCTGAGAATCTGATAGACCAATAAAAATATCCTTTATACCACTCTGTGAATCATAAAATGCCCTTCCATACCGACATGGATGTATTTGCGGGAGCGGTAGTCTCACTGATGATAGGAGAAGGTTAGTTGAGAATGGGTCAAATGGATCATCAACTTGTGGAATATATCCATTATTGTTCCAGGAGAACACTGTGGTGACAACGTATCCTTGGATGTCCAGTCCAGAATGCTGTCCCTTCAACTGACCGTTGATGAATAGATTTACATTCCACGAATCTGTTGATGGTGTTGAGTCATTTATTGTTTGAAAGGAAAAGTCGTTCAGTGGGAAACTTGGGTCAAAGTCTCCATGGACATTGTAAACTTTGATTCTGGATTTATCCTTGGCCCAGAACAGAATGAGGGGTTCTGAGATGTTATTCATAGTCAAGAGAACGCCAAGGTTCCAACTCTCTTCATCAGTTAATACAGTCCTGTTGCCATTAGAACATGCACTGCCATTGCATTTATCTATAAATATCTTTGCATAAGCCTTTAAGATATCATCAGGACTTGGAAGACTTTCTTGAACCAGACCTATAATAGATGAAACGTTGTGTCGTGCTGTAGCCTGAAGAGAAAATGAATAGTTACCTTCAATCAGCAGCATTGGGTTTGTTTTGACTCCTCCTTTCTCAAACATTTGCAGCGAGGGGTCAAGTCGTGCATATATCTTGACATGGTTATTGTCTAAAATGTCAACAGCTTGGGATTGGAAAACATCATCCAAAATCATTATTTCCTTTTTATAGTCATTCTTCAGTACTTCTCTTTCAGTTTGACATGTTGAATCGTGTATGTTGGTATTGATGAGCATTGTGCCCTGTAACAGATTCGTATCGCCCCAGGACCTTGAACTGTACCTCCAATCTGACCCAATTTGTATGTTTCCAGCAACTGGAGGGTTGTAATCTGCTAAAATAGGTTTGCTTGTCACAGTTGTCTTCAAACCTGCCTTATTAGCTGCTGTAACCTGTATATAGTATGGCCTGGTTGTGTCTAACATGAGATCGTTGAAGTGGGCATCGGACGTTGAAACAGTGACAGAACGTAAAACGTCTTTGTCTTTGGGGGATAAGGACGTTGAATCAGTGCAGAAAAAGCCTCCTAAGAATGCTACTGTGTAGTAATCTATGGAACTTTCTTCATCTGTAAATCCTGTCATGTTTATATGTAGAGAGTGCAGTTGAGTGGCATATAGAATACCAGATGACCGTCCACCATCAATGATCACTTGCCCTGGTTCAGGTGATGTTGTATCAATTGTAATTGCTTTACTGGATGCAATCAGACACATCCCTGCCTCATCTTCAGCTTTGACAAGGACAAAGTAAACCTCAGAATGATTTAATTGAAGACCTTTTATGGTTTTGATTGTGTCTTTGTTGACAGACTCAAATGCCACAAGTGGCTGAAAGACAATAGCCTGACATTCCAAGCTTGTATTTGACTCTGTATGTTCTTCAGTGTCAACAGCAACTTCATATTTCCGAATGTTAAAGTCAGATATAAAGTCAGACCAGGATACTGGTATTTCACTGGTGCTGGATTGGTACTCAGCAACTTCGATATCTCCCGGCACGATGTCTGTTCCAAATCCAACTCGGATTCCATTTGAAAAAGATTCTTCATAACGTCCAGTAGAACTGTATGCCCTCACTGTGATGTAATATGTAACTGTTTTTGCGGTTAGATTTAAATGCTTAAAGATATAACTTCTGTTGAGACTAACATTTTCAAAGAAATGAATATTGGATCTCCTCTCTTTATATCTTCTGTCATTCCCTACAGCCACTTCATAGTATTCAATTTTCTGTGATGGGTCCAAATCATCTATTTCTCCAAACGGATCCCAATTTGCTGCAAGGTAATTTGTAGGTAGCTGGTAGTTGATGTCAGACGAAATGCCATCTCGAACATTCCCAGGAACGGGAGGCTGAATCTTGACCATCACCCCATCAGATCTACCAATCATGGTGCGGTTGAGGGCATCAGTGGTTCTCACAGTGACTCTGTATGTCTTCATATTCTCCAATGTCAATTCATCATTGTAGAATCTATGGCCGTTCCCAGGGGTTTGTTCAAAGTCTTTGATAATCTCCCCTGTGATGTCTTCTACTCCCCACTCTGCTGATACTACTAGACAGGGATCAGAGTAGCCCCACCTTCCCTGAATGGTCGTTAAGTCATGTTGACTGTTAATATCATCATGTCCTAGTCCATCTAAAACAACTAGGTAGGGTTGTGGGCTGATAGCAACTGGACAACTTTCTTTCACTATGAACAGACCGGCTTTGTTGAAAATGCGGACACTGACAAAGATGAGGGTTCCAGATTCCAAGTGTAGGTTTGAAACTACAAACAGTCCTTTGGACAAACTGACTTTTGTGAATGGAAGAACATCTGTCAGTCCTCGCTCACTTCCCAGTCCTGCTTCATACCTGAAACATACCACAGTTTTAACATTATGATTATATAAACGATAGCATATGAGGAAATGTTGTGGCTGTAATGGATGTTTCTGCATAAATATTAACTGTGGGTTTTTAGTATCATGATTTTAAGGAAGACAACACAAGAGGAAATTGCTTGGATATAAGGAATGTTTCTGTAAACATCTTAACAGCGATATCTATTTACGTTAAGTAAAACTGTTACTCACCTGTCTATCTGTGATTCGGGATCTTCGAATCCATTCAAAAATACAGATATGAACGTTGTTTGTTGCTGGCAGACTACTTCCTGTTTTGATGATGGATTAGATGATGTAACTACTGACACTTCCCCTATGGTTGGAGGTGTCTGATCAAAGATGATTTCTTTGAAGAATTTGTTACGAAGATGTGCACCATTTTCAATTTCCAGAGTTATATACAGGAATGAAACTGCATCTTGAAAAACTCCATTTGTGTCAAAGCTCCAGTGTCTCTCAGTTGCCAATAGCCTGGTTGCCACTAATATATGTGAGCTGTCTTGTTCTGTACGTGCTGTGATTGATACGTTAGTGATGGTACTTTCTGCTTCTTCGAAAAACCTCCAAGAACAAGTGACAATTGTTGACATCATTGATACAAAGGGTGTACACTCATAGTCAATAATAGAGACAGGAGTGTTATCAACTGTGATTGGCGGTGAACTCATTAACGCCGCGTTGCCAGCCATATCCGAGCCATATGTTGTCACGAAATATGTGTTGTTTGCTGAAAGACTTATGTCCAATGGATCAAGACCCGACTTTGAAATATCAACAGTGTGTTTTTCACCAGAGACTGGGAGGCTCCCTATGGACCAGGATATCACAGGCATAATATTTGCATCCTCTACAGACCATGATATTGGTAGAGTTGTTGTTTGGTTTAAAAACAAAAGTGAGTAAGTCATCATTTGACCTCTGTACTGTTGATTTATAACAGGAACTTCATGGTCAACCATTACACCATTTGATGATGATACGATGTACGAGTCTGGACATTCCACACCAGTTATAGCCCGGACTGTAACATAGTACTTCACATTGTTGAAGTTTGTATTTGTTATTTCAGCATATCCTGAACTGTCGCTGACCATCGTAAGTCCATAGTTTGTGTAATGCATTATGTCACTCAGATATGGATGTGTTCCTATCGCCCAGTCGTAGCCGGCTATTCCACACGTATCACTACCGAAGCCATCGAACGACATGGAGAGACCGGAGAGATCCTGCTGGAAATCTGCATCTTCACTGATACTTCGACCATCATAGACTGTTCCAGGGGAGTTTCCCTTCTCTACATGTATTGACTTTGATGAAGCTTCTGCTGTCAAACCTGCTCCATTTGTAACTCTGATAACGACAACGTACTGGGTCTTGTCATCTGATATAAAATTGCGAGCTTCTAATATTACAGATGATGTGCTTCCATAGTTGGTAAACTGCTCACTTCGAGTGCACTGTATGGCATTGTTTTTCACACAAAGCAGACTTTCAGCTATACCACTCTCAGGATCACGAGCTGTCCAAGACACATGCATCGGTTGATCCTCCATGTGGATTACATTTCCGAAGTCATCAAGCTCCTCCTCTTCCCCAGGAAGACCTATGAGTACCTACAAAATGTGCGGCCAATATTAAAACATCATATTACAGGTGTATTTGCATCCAATATATGTTATTATGTTGCGCAAATGAATACTTGTAGCCCTGTGTAAAGTTCTCGAAAAACTCTTGGCAATACAGATTGCACAAATGAATACTTAAGCCATTCTTTCCAGTTCCCTAAAAGACTCATTGTAATGCAACACACGAAAACCTTTGAAACTATTCAAACAGTAGACATACATGATTGTAACTTTGTTGTTATCTTAAAAAGAGAATAAAATTAATCATTGTTCGACTCAATTGTTCTTTGAAATACTGAATCCCTATCAAGTGATATTATGATGGATACTCACTTTCTTTACAGTAGGTGACGTAGTGTCAATAACAACTCCACTTGATTCTACTGACGTTGCAAGAAGGGCGTTGTTGAGAGCTGTGACCGATGTTGTATATAGGGCCCCATTTCTGAGAGTAAGGGAATCCAACTGGATGTCTGCTTTTCCAACTTCAATGACAGCAAATGTCTCATCTTTTGGCCAAAACCTTTTCTTCTGACCGCCAATCTTTTCAAATATAGTGTATCTGCATTTTAAGATGCCTGACTCTTCATCCGTAAAATGCCACTTGAACCCAAGGTGTGAAGAATCACTTTGGTATTTGCCTGTCTGAGAATCTTGTATATACATCATGTTTGGTGGTGTTTCGTCGACCAGATACCCATTACTTTCCGCTTGTGTTTCAAGTCGTGCACCATTTGTTGCTGTGACTTGAACTCGGACATAGTCCTTGTGTTTAGTGTCCATTGTATGGTCAGTGTAACTGGTCATGGATCCAATATGGAACGTCTTTTTCAGTTCATCGTTTACGTATACCACCATTGTGTACTCTTGTACATGGCTTTCTGGGTCAGTGAAGTTGGCCCAGGTACTTTCAATAGTAGCTATCTGAGAGCTGAACTCCACATCATTCGCAATATCAGCACCATCCTGGACATACCCCAGCAGTGGAGGTGTTATGTCTACCAGCACTGAAACAGAAGACAATAGGTATACCCAAGCAGTGGAGGTGTAACGTCTACCAGCACTGAAACAGAAGACAATAGGTATACCCCAGCAGTGGAGGTGTTACGTCTACCAGCACTGAAACAGAAGACAGTAGGTATACCCGTCCAGTGGAGGTGTCACGTCTACCAGCACTGAAACAGAAGACAATAGGTATACCCGAGCAGTGGAGGTGTAACGTCTACCAGCACTGAAACAGAAGACAATAGGTATGCCCGTCCAGTGGAGGTGTTACGTCTACCAGCACTGAAACAGAAGACAATAAGTATGCCCGTCCAGTGGAGGTGTTACGTCTACCAGCACTGAAACAGAAGACAATAGGTATACCCGTCCAGTGGAGGTGTTACGTCTATCAGCACTGAAACAGAAGACAATAGGTATACCCGACCAGTGGAGGTGTTATGTCTACCAGCACTGAAACAGAAGACGATAGGTATGCCCGTCCAGTGGAGGTGTTACGTCTACCAGCACTGAAACAGAAGACAGTAGGTATACCCGACCAGTGGAGGTGTTACGTCTACCAGCACTGAAACAGAAGGCAGTAGGTATGCCCGACCAGTGGAGGTGTTACGTCTGCCAGCACTGAAACAGAAGACAATAGGTATGCCCGTCCAGTGGAGGTGTTACGTCTACCAGCACTGAAACAGACGACAGTAGGTATACCCGTCCAGTGGAGGTGTTACGTCTACCAGCACTGAAACAGAAGACAATAGGTATACCCGACCAGTGGAGGTGTTACGTCTACCAGCACTGAAACAGAAGTCGATAGGTATACCCGTCCAGTGGAGGTGTTACGTCTACCAGCACTGAAACAGATGACAATAGGTACACCCGAGCAGTGCAAGTGTTACTTTCTACCAGCAATGAAACAGAAGACAGTAGGTATACCCGTCCAGTGGAGGTGTTACGTCTACCAGCACTGAAACAGAAGTCGATAGGTATACCCGACCAGTGGAGGTGTTACGTCTACCAGCACTGAAACAGAAGACAATAGGTATACCCGTCCAGTGGAGGTGTTACGTCTACCAGCACTGAAACAGAAGACAATAGGTGTGCCCGACCAGTGGAGGTGTACGTCTACCAGAACTGAAACAGAAGACAATAGGTATACCCGTCCAGTGGAGGTGCTACGTCTGTCAGCACTGAAACAGAAGACAATAGGTATGCCCGTCCAGTGGAGGTGTTATGTCTACCAGCACTGAAACAGAAGACAATAGGTATGCCCGACCAGTGGAGGTGTACGTCTATCAGAACTGAAACAGAAGACAAAAGGTATACCCGTCCAGTGGAGGTTTTACATTTCACAGCACTGAAACAGAAGACAATAGGTATGCCCGTCCAGTGGAGGTGTAACCTCTACCAGCACTGAAACAGAAGACAATAGGTATGCCCGACCAGTGGAGGTGTACGTCTATCAGAACTGAAACAGAAGACAAAAGGTATACCCGTCCAGTGGAGGTGTTACGTCTGCCAGCACTGAAACAGAAGACAATAGGTATACCCGACAAGTGGAGGTGTTACGTCTACCTGCACTGAAACAGAAGTCGATAGGTATACCCGACCAGTGGAGGTGTTACGTCTACCAGCACTGAAACAGAAGACAGTTGGTATACCCGTCCAGTGGAGGTGTTACGTCTACCAGCACTGAAACAGAAGTCGATAGGTATACCCAACTACTGGAGGTGTTACGTCTACCAGCACTGAAACAGAAGTCGATAGGTATACCCGTCCAGTGGAGGTGTTATGTCTACCAGCACTGAAACAGAAGTCGATAAGTATACCCCAGCAGTGGAGGTGTTACGTCTACCAGCACTGAAACAGAAGACAATAGGTATACCCGAGCAGTGGAGGTGTACGTCTACCAGCACTGAAACAGAAGACAGTAGGTATACCCTTCCATTCTTTCAGAAGGAAATCACATTGCGGCATCCAAATGTACACTAACTACTATACAACAGTATAGCTGTCTGTCTATAAGAAATTTCATACTATTGCCGAAATATTTTCAAAATACAAGCCTTAATTTTCTGTTCTGGAATTAATGTCAGATGCCATTGTCTGGTGTTTCCCATTATATCTAAATGAGACAAATCTTGGGGAAATAACTCTAAGTATGTTTCTTTATTCTAATGAACGAAGTGAATTAATGTCTAAGTGAATTATTCTTACTGACTGGGACGAATGCATGCATGCATGGATGCATGCATGAGGTATAACGGTATAACATTAGGTTTGCGGAAAGATGAATTTTAAGTCCGATCCTAAATTGTTCTGCACATTCATTCACTGATTGACGTTTGCTTTGTGCACTTTCAGACCCTCTAGGGGGCTCCTAAATATGGCTTAGGTTTTGACACCATTTGTAGAGTTAGCAAAATTTAAACTGTACCTCCATCAGATGTTGCGAGAATTTTCTTCTGATTGAGTGCCCCATTGAAAGCGACAACTGTTGAATAGTATGTTGTATTGTGGTGCAGAGTTGTGACGTTGCACCCAGATTTAACGTGATGCGTACAATTTGTAAATGGAAGAATGTCATCAGCCCCAGCTGTTGTTCCAACGCCCCAGAGATAACTGAAAGTAGTGGCATATGGCAACATTGTCTCTTAACAGATTAGCAATCACTGTGGCAAATGAAATACTATTAAAATTGTGGAGCACATATAGATCGTCAACGTAAATAGTACAAATATGTACATGCGTAAAGGAGTTTCATTCAAATATTGGTAGGACATGCATACAGGTCATCACAGACAAAGGAAAAGTTGAGAAATAACTGGCTTAACATACCTGTCAATACCAGATTCTGGATCATAGAAATATACCCACTGTGCACAAATCATTTGAGTACTATGTTGGTATTTCAAATCTTCAAGCAGTTTGTCCCCATCAAGTACTTTACCAACGACTGGCGGTGTTAAGTCAATGAGTATCGGAACATCACCATGGCTTGCAGTGGAGAGATCGACTATGAATAACAAACAAAGTCATCAATATTGCCCGCAATGGCAAAATAATCATGAATATCTCAACGAATTATGATAGCCAAATCATATAGCTAAATGGAAGGAGAGTATTGAAAGGTTTTAAGTTCTGCTCCAAAAGGAGCACTACCACCAAATTCAGTTGAAGCCAGACTTGAAACACTTCCTAAGGAAAAACACACAAAAAATTTTTTTTCAGAATTCCAAAACTACCAACCAGACCTATCGACGTGCCACGTTTAGTGAAGAAATAGTGAACGGGTTTAGAGTTCCCGAAAAGAGACTACAACCAATTTCAGTCAAAGTCAAACTTGGTACCATGGAAACGCCAAAAATATTTTATTCAGAATTCCAAAACTACCAAAAGCCACCAGTACACATCCAGACCTATATACATGTGTGTGCCAAGTTTGGTGAAGAAACACTGAACAGTTTTCGAGTTCTGCTCCGGAAAAGAACACTACCACCAATTTCAGTCAAATCAAATTTGTTGCCATGGAAACGCAAAAAAAATATTTTATTCAGAAATCCAAAACTACCAAAAGTCCAAACGTCACCAGTCCAGCCTCATATCTATGTGACAAGTTGAGTGAAGAAAAATTGAACGGTTTTAAACATCTGCTCTGGAAAAGACAAATGTGCACGGACGCACGGACGGACGGACGGGGTCCATTTTAATACCATCCACAAAACGTGTTGCGGGGTATAACAACAATACGTTGTAAATATTTGTCTGATAAACAGTTACAGTTTTCCTTTAAGGATGTGTATATCTAAAATTTCAGTAGCTTCTTCCTACCTAAATTTACGGCTCTGATTCGCACCCAAGCCTGGACACCAGGAGTCAAGCCAAGATCTTCTATCACAAGGTATGGGTCAGCTCGGTTGAGAAAGGGATGACGGCTGTAAGATCTCACAAAAACATCATACTTTGTTTTTCCCAGACCAAAGTCCACTCTTGCAATACCCGATCCAGAGTCTGATACATTGAAGTAGACGCCCAAGATATCAAAATCCTCATCAAACAACAAATCCCCTACCTCATGTACTACGGGCTGTGTCGTGTCAACTGTCACAGGTGTAGAGTGACACACTGTTGTAACCAAAGCTCCTCCGTGTACAACATTGTTGATAGCTTGGAAGGTGATATAGTACTGACCATCAGCCAGATGGAGATTCTTGCCCAGTCCGGTATAGGTCCAGTCTTGCCTGGTTTGCAGCTGAGCGTGAGGATCAGTGAACTTCACGACATCAGATCCACACACAGACGTCCCAGCTGCCCACGTGTAGCCCCAAATACCACTCTCGTCGTCGTGGAAGCCATCGCAGTTTCCTGTAAAAGCTGACTGACTGAGTTTAGTTTTACTCCGCTTTTAGCAATATTCTAGCAATATCACGGCCGGGGACACCAGAAATGGGCTTAACACATTGTGCCCATGTGGGGAATCGAACCCGGGTCTTCGGCATGACGAGCCAACGCTTTAACCACTAGGCTACCCCACAGCCCCTTTCCTGTAAAAAGTAACCATAACAATACCAATGTCAACAAACCACACACATCAAATTATCCACAGTTCTAAGATGCCTAGCGATTAGAACAATCGAAACAAAAAACAAAAATTATCAGACATTCTAGCCCGACAATGTGTGATACTTGATTCTGATTGGCTGAGAGCACATCAAAACCGTACTTAAATGACAGTTTAAGGACCGCTATAGTTTGGCATGAAATGCATGTGGACCCGGGTTTTTAAAATATCTCTTCATCCAATGATCCAATCGATCTCAAACTGTGCAAGTGGATGTTTTGTCAGACAACCTAATCACATTGTAAATCACCGATTTTATGCATTTGTAATAAAGAATCTGTCTATTTGTCAACAAAATAAACAGCAGAACGCAGACGGCTTGCAGAGGGAGGGAGCCAATGACCTGTAACAGCGGCAGTGTTGGGTCATAAAGGTCAACGTTCGTCAATGTAGGTCAGCTATGCACGTGACAGGTATGAAGAGGTGTCACAGGTCGGGAATAGGGTAAGGTGGGTGCCAACTGTTAACCATCATACAGAGTTTGTTTCTCTGAGGTGTTCAACATTAACCACAAAACCCATTAGTGAGAATTATTCTGTAAGTTAAAATCTTTAAATTTGTAATGTTAATGTCATATTTTGTTTACGCAGTACCTAAGTGTAAATGCATATTTACACTAAATAATTAATCGGACCACCTATGGTTAGAACTCAGCAACTGTTAAAGCCCCGTTCCCTCGGACACAAGCACACACAATTATGCACACTCATTGAAGAAAAGATAGAATGAAGACAAAAGTGTTATGTTTTGATGTCGTTCGCATTCCAAATTAAGCAATGCATTTCTAATAGCTTTAAGCATATAGATAGTTAATATTTATATTTTCATGATAATTTTAAGTGAAATGATTGTTTCATGTTACACTATAAGTCGTTGGAATTAGTCGGTGCTGTTATTGTTAAAAGAAGTTTCTTTGAGCATATCTGGCTGGATACTATTATTATCTGTAAATATAATAACAGATTTTAACTTTAGTTCAAGTTCACTCCATTCTTCCACAGAGGAGTCATCAGTGTCAGTGTTCCTCAACATACTGTGTGAAAACCATTGAGTTCATTTCTGTATGATAGTCCCTACCATCTGTGCTCTTTGACCGAAATAGCAGATCATACCCAGGTAGGAATCCACGGTGGGAACCAGCATTAAGAACGATTAAACGTTCACCTTTGCCTGTTGGTATTTTCCTACCATCACTGGGATCAGTGGGTAGCCACTGTCTGGCAGCAGTATGGTTTGCATTGACCCAGGTCTCATCCAGATATATAGGTTCGAACCCATCCTCTCTTGCCTGCTTAATTTATCTCAGATAGTTACACCTTATTTTCACAATATCAGATCTCTCACACATTTCAATGTTCTGGTTTGCTACCTTCTTGTGCTTGTATCCAAATTTGAGCAGTAGTTTGCTTAGTATCAACCTAGAAACATTAATGTCGTGATCCTCTGCAAGGATGTGTTTTAACAGGTGTTCATTTCTAGCAAATATCTTAATTTCTCTCAGATAGTTACACCTTATTTTCACAATATCAGATCTCTCACACATTACAAGTTTCTAGTTTGCTACCTTCTTGTGCTTGTATCCAAAATTGAGCAGTAGTTTGCTTAGCATCAACCTAGAAACATTAATGTCGTGATCCTCTGCAAGGATGTGTTTTAACAGGTGTTCATTTCTAGCAAATAGCCGGCGAATGACATCTCTGATGACACTGATGTCAAACGAATCTAACTTTGGATGCCTACCTTTTTGTACAAGGTCTTGTTTATTGGTTTTGGTTTATTTTTCACAATTTTAGCACTCTTTTTTAAAACAATTCAACACATTTCTAATTAAACGTTTAGCATCATCTGAATAAGCTTTCTTGATGAGAGCTAGAAGTAGTCAATATGAATGATCCAAACGGTCTATCACTGTGCAGTGCACAGGTAACTATCATGAACTGCACGTGCATTTACTTTTATGACCCAACACTGCCGCTCTTACAGGTCATTGGCTCCCTCCCTCTGCAAGCCGTCGGCGTTCTGCTGTTTATTTTGTTGACAGTTACATAGACAGATTCCTTAATACAAATGCATAAAATCGGTGATTTACAATGTGCACAGTTTGAGATCGATTGGATCACTGGATGAAGAGATATTTACAAAAAACCAGGTCCACATGCATTTCATGCCAAACTATAATTAAAGTGACCGATTCACCGCGTATGAATACAACGAACTCGTTGACCCTATTGTTTGTAAACAAACTTGTCGGACACCGGCAATTTCTATGTCGGCAGCATCTTTGGTGCTTTTGAAGTAAAAACCAAATGGTTTGAAGAAGAATTTCTTGACCCTAATCCCAGTGAAGAAACTACGAAGCATGAAAATCCGCCAACAGCGCAAAAGCGGCAGCATATTCCAAGCGGGTCCAGATCTGCGTGTGTTGACGTCCACAACACACGTCGGCCCACACGTCCTAACCTGACCGCTTCCGTCCCGGCCGTAATGCCCAGTCCTTCCACTTCCAATGTCCATGTATCCCACATAAAACGTGGCATGTCAGGTCTTTTCCAAATGGGGGATAGTAGTTGTTATCAACAATTCTCTCCGTGAATAAAGTTAGCGGCGACTAAACTTAGCGAGTTCACGGATCGCATTTGGGCGAGTCGATTGTCATACAGTAGGGGAGATCAATAATTCGCTTAAGAAAAATCAAATAATTGTACTTGCTCACAGAATGAACTGTATTTTTTTTATTTATGTATGCTAGTTCCTGGTTCCTGAAATATAGCATTTATGTTCCTAAAAATGTCTTACTTTGTTCATTATACAACCTGTCCCTCAAAGGGACGATTCCAAGCGATTTCCAGGAAAAAGGCCCCTTTGCGCCTTGTGTTCTTGCGCGCCAAACAGTTCGGTTTTAAAACGCTTATCAGTCGTGCTAGAAAGAAGATAAAGCTTCCGCTAAATGTTTAATTTAGCGGTCTTAAATCAACGATAAAGGACCGCAAAATTGAAAACAGAGTAGCTTTATCTTCTAAATAAAGGCATAGTTGTTTTATGACGTAACAATTGAATGACATTTTCCCGTCACTGCGCCATTCTAGTGTGCCCCCTCGTAATCCAAACATTTTACATTACGTCACAATGTTAGCGACGTCACACCTCGTACGGCCTCCTACAGTAAACTAATCCATTGCATCCCGTTTCTCAGTTTGCAGTTGCTTCACTCGGCTAATATTACTGGTGGAAACATTACGTTTATGCCTTCTAAATAAAGGCATAGTTGTTTTATGACGTAACAATTGAATGACATTATCCCGTCACTGCGCCATTCTAGTGTGCCCCCTCGTAATCCAAACATTTTTACATTACGTCACAATGTTAGCGACGTCACACCTAGTACGGCCTCCTACAGTAAACTAATCCATTGCATCCCGTTTCTCAGTCTGCAGTTGCTTCACTCGGCTAATATTACTGGTGGAAACATTACGTTTATGTGTCTGCCCCCGCAGACAGCGACACGGTAACGTGCGCAATGTTTACATTCCCACAATGCAATCGTGGAAAGTCGCTTGACTACTCAGCTTCATCTGGATGTACTGATCTAAACTTACATTGGTAGTAGAAATGCGACGTTCATATTGCCCCATATGGTTCACGTTAATGGCAGATGTAATTAACATAAGATATTTAATGCGAACATAAACCGTCATCAAACTGTTATCATTTGTTTTGTTTTCTGGTAACGTTCGTCTTAACGTACGGGGGCAGACACATCAATAGAGCAGCGTGCCAGTTAGCCCTGTGCGAGGATTTTTAATTTAGGTCACCGACACGGTCGTTTGTTTTCTGCCTTAAATTAATCGTAATTATCCTTAGAAAGTATTATAATTGGCATCTTAGAAAAGAAATACAGTTCGCTCTACCACCATGTATAGTGTAATAAAGCCCACTTTCGCCCTGGACTATTATGACATTAAAGCTCTCGGACGCAAGCGTCCTCGTACTTTAACTATACTAGTTCAGGGAGAAAGTGTGCTTTATTACATTATACATGGTGTCCGAGTGCTTTAACGTTACAGTAGTTCAGGGCGAAAGTGTGCTTTATTACACTATACATGGTGGTAGGACGAACTGTGTTTCTTAGTTACATATACCAAAACTAATACACTACATTGTTTAATGTGACCAAGTAAAGGTATACCATGGCAAAACAGATTACCTGAGATATAGTTGTTTGCAAGCGTGTATTTCGTATCTTCAAGAGGTTTGTTACCTCCGAAAACCGTTCTTCCAGCACTCCCATCAATGATTTTTCTGTAAAAGACATGTCTTCTATCTCATTTGATCTGTTCGGATGTACGTTTAAATTTGTTTATGTCGTCATCGTGCAGAAGGCAAAGGTATCTTTACCTGTGATTGAGCTCCTTGGTGACATCGATGCATCTTTGAGTCACAGCTGCCTTACATCCATCAGCTGTCAACACATCTGAAACAGCTTCTCCTACAGGACCAGGTTCAGGAGGAGTAAAGTCAGCTAGAGTCCCAGTTGATGGCAGGTAGGCAACATATCCTAGAGTGTTGGTGATCTTTGCATTTATAAAATACTGGGCACCATGTTCGAGGTTTGAGTGAGAGAACTCCCGAAATGCGCTGTAGCCAACTCCAAGTCTTTCATAATGGAAGTAAGATGCAGCAGCACGAAGTTTCGCCTTAGCTCCAACAACTGTTTCCTGAAGATCACACGACTGAGTATGCATTGCATAGTCAAAGGAAATGCATTTTGAACCTGTCTGCAAACACAGTCTTGCACATTCAATGTCATTATCTGCATGAGCCGTAGAAAATGGAGCAGACGACAACTTTCCAGGCTTAGATGGGGCAAATTCTTTCAGTTCGGACATGACACCTTTTCTCATATATGTGTTTTCCAGGTGCAGAATTTGCCAATCCAAAATTTCTTTTCCAAACTCCCCAGGACTGTATCCCACAGCAACTGAGTGATAAGGTGTTAGTGGAGAGTCTTCGAATACGACAACGTTGGCTTGGATCACCGTTCTGTGACTTGTAAACTGATAGGCAGCATCTACCCTCCCATCTGGAACTGTATTGTCATACGTGTGGAGCATGCACATAGCCGTTGCCTCAATACCTTGAGTGTTCCTAGCCCTTATTGTCCAATACAAAGGTACTCCATTAGGCAATGAAACCGTGGGCAATGTTAAGGAGGGTCCTCTCATCTCCACCAGTGACCTCACATCTCTTCCACCCCGAGAAGTACCAATGCTATAGTGTACAGTAAGAGGGCTGTTTTTATCCCAAATGTCAAATTCCAGGATGAATGCTGTGTCACTGGGATGCCTTCCATCAAGTTGCCGGACAGAACAGCTTCCTGACAATGACCTCTTCCTGTGGTCACAGTTGGGGAATCTTGGTGGAGTGTTATCGTTTTTTTCAATCTCGTGTTTCCAAATGGTGCCAGTGAGTGTGGGGCTTGTCCAGTGCCAAATGTCAAAATTGATGTTGATAACGTAAATAACTTTTACCCATGCTCTTAGTCGTAGTTCAAGTGGTGTGAGCTCGACACTAAGTTTTTTCCTGAAATAGAAGATCGATTCTGTCATAATTTACGTTTTATATTGATATATTTATCATAATAAGGCATAGGTAAAAGAAAACGCAACCTTCTCATACATAGAAGTTGCAATTATGAAATGATGCATTGAGATTTCTTAATATACAAACCCAAGTAGTGAGTGAGTGAATTAAAATTTAACGTCACATCGGCAATATTTCAGCCATATCGTGACGAGAACAATTAATGTTATGCATAGTAAGCAATGGTAAACTATAAAAACCTGTCAACGAAGGACAGTAAAATAACTAGATTATCACAGATTCGAATTTAAAACTAGCAATCAAATCTAAAACAGTCTAACTATAGATGGCAATACAAGGTAAACACAGGCTATATATTGCCAACAACTGAAGATAGATCACCATACTAGGGACCATGGGGACTTACAGTACATTTGCTTCCTGCATGGACCCTAGCTGGATTTACACCATCCCCTCAGCTATTAGGAATGTTAAATAATCTAGCCATAAATCAAACGAACATATATTCTACGATTAAAATAGTAGTAGGTTTAAATTTACTATGAATGTTTTGGGACTTACGTACCCTCTCAGGAGGACAATAATTTTACGCTACTTCAAACCCCTTCGAGGGCACTGCCACTAACAATCTAAGTTACTAATCAAATCTACAAATAATTAAAATGCATATATGTACAGAACATATTATTCAAAATTCATTCATTAAATCAGTTTCTTTTAAAAAGCCAATAATTAAATGGAAAGTAACAGTGTTAAAAAGATCCTTAACTGTTTTCACATTGAAGTATTTATCCCTTATGATGGAGAATTCAGCACAGTCAAGCAGGACGTGCTTGACCGTGGTTCTCTCATCACAAGGGTTACAAACCTGAGGATCCTCACCTTTCAATAGGTATGCATGAGTGTATCTAGTGTGGCCAATACGACATCGTCGCATGATGGCCTCTTCAAATCTGGACTGACAACCCAAGTAAGTGTAACCGATATAGGGTTTTATTTCATGTAATTTATTGATACCTACTTCGGTGTCCCACTTCTGCATCAGATCACGGATGTAAGTTCTAATGCAAGCTTTGTAATCAGAGTAAGGAATAAGAAGTGGTTTCACAGATTTGTTGAGTGCTGCCTTGGCAACAAGATCGGCCATTGTATTCCCAGAAATGCCAACGTGGCTGGGTAACCAACAAAAGACGATGTCGCATTGGCCAAGCTCATTATACAATTCAATAATTTCTAATAAAAGTGGATGTTTACAAGAAAGATTTTTAACAGCCTGAAGACACGAAAGAGAATCGGAAATGATTATGTATTGTTGATATTTACGGTGTTTATTAATATATTTAAGAGCTGTCAATATGTCGTTAGCTTCTGCTGTGAAAATAGAGCTGTTATTTGGTAGTCGAGAAGATATTGTTCTGGATCCAATGACAGTGGCACATCCCACCGCGCCACCATTCTCAGACCCATCGGTAAATAAGGATTTGTATGTATTATATTTATCTTTTAACTGATTATATTCTTGTTTATATTGTAATTGATTAGTTTCAGATTTCATGAACTTTGTCAGAGTTAGGTCAACTTCAGGCCTCACCAGTTGCCAAGGAGGAGACGAAAAAAGACGGGAAGGAGTTATATTCTCCAGCTCTATGCCGGCAGCAGAAATGAATGGTTTATTTCTGTGCCCAAGCGGCGGAACAAGAGAAGGCTTTTTGTTGTATAAATCCTCATAAAGAGGATTGAAAACACAGCTAAATGCAGGATAAGAATCATTAGAATACAGAGTTTGTTACATACTGTAATGATAATTTGATACGACGTTGGTTAAGGGATTGCTCATCGGCCTCAACATAGAGACTGTCAACAGAAGTTCTTTAAGACCCAAGACAAAGTCTTAGGCCTTGGTGGTGGACAGAATTCAGTAGTTTTAGTTTGCTTTTGCAGGGTCAATCATATACAATGGCGCCATAATCAAGTTTAGATCGCACCAATGATCTGTATATGATCCTCATAAAGAGGATTGAAAACACAGTTAAATGCAGGATTAGACTCGTTAGAATATAGTTTGGTAATATATTGTAATGATAGTTTTATACGGCGTTGGGTAAGAGATGGTTCATCTGCCTCGACGTAGAGACTGTCAATAGGAGATGTTCTGAATGACCCAAGACAAAGTCTCAGACCTTGGTGGTGGACAGAATCTAATAGGTTTAGGTTGATTTTAGCCATAATCAAGCTTCGAGCGGACAAGTGATCTGTAAAGGTGTAGGAGCGTAGTTTGATCCCCTCCCCACCTTGAATTTCAATAATGGTAGGGAAGTGGTCACTCCCACATAGGTGATCATGGACCATCCATTCAAATTCATTATACAGGTTTGAGTCAGCGAGAGACGGATCCAGGGAAGAATAAGTTCCCGTAGCTGGATGAAGATAAGTGGCTGAATCATCATTCAAAATACATAAATTATTATCGGAAATGAATTCCTCAATACTTTTACCTTTAGTATTGGTATGGACACCACTCCAAAGCGGGTTGTGTCCGTTGAGATTGCCCATGATGAGACATGGCTTTGGCAGCTGATCATACAGATTTTGCAGATCCGACAGTCGGATATCAGAAGATGGAGGGACATATAAACTGCACAGCGTCAACGCAATGTGCATTATCAGACGAACAGCTACAGCTTGGAGATTGGTATTAAGAGGGACAGGGCTATGTATGATGCCCTGCTGTACCAAAACAGAAGCACCACCAGTTGCTTTATCTCCTGGCGGAGAGAAGCATTGATAATCACTGTATTGTCATAAATTGAATGAGTTTTTGCTTTAATAGAGTCTGGTAGAGAAGAACGCGCAAACGACATTAAATGTGTGTTTGTTTTTATGATTGCGCCATCTTTCTTGATGGTAAAACGCTTAAATGCGGTTACCGCCTGTTCTTTTAGCTCCGTAGCGATTTCTTCTTCAGACATGTCGGACAAACAGCGAGCCCTGTCCCGAACAATGCCTCGACAAGAGTTAAGTGTCCTGTGCACAGAAACAACAACCTCAATATTTACAAATGTTTTGATCGATAGCAAATTGCCAGACTGCTGTCTCCGTGCACACTCCACAAGAAGTGAACCACTACGGAGACGGGTGACGTTGTTAACTTGTCCGCAAATACCAGATACAGCGTTTGAGATTGCAAACGGGTTTAGTTTAATGGGTAGGAAATCTGCTGCCTCAATCACCAAAAATCGTGGCCAGGAATCATTGTTTGAAGAATCTTTTCCAGTTGAGAGATCTAAGTCCTCCAAACGTCTTTTCTTTTCATTGCGAATTGAACCAGCATGTGTAAGCTCCATGATGGAAGGAAATAATTCAGCACCCCTGCTCCCCACCCACCACGGAGCGTCAACAAGGACAGTGTCAAATAGCAACGGGTATCCAAGCTGCTAACATCAGGGATACAGGGGTGTTATACTCCAGAGAAAACAACACAAGTAGCTGCATTTATCTACCAATTCCATGCCCGACTGGTTCGGCCCAAGACAAAAAATTAGAGACATACATTTATTTATTTGGAGGTCATTATCACCAGATTGGCCCATGAGCCACCGCCTTCTGGCATAGGACTCTAGGCAAATGTAAATAATAATATAATTTTGAAATGCAACATTCAATATCAACATTATATAAATGTACATTCATATAAATTTGAATGCTGTCCATGCACAGGGCATGGCGTGACCAGCCGATTGATAGAACCGGGCCAGTTCTACCACGCGTCTAGGTGAAGTCAGGGGCGAAGTGGTGTGTTGGGCAAAGGAACACTGTTCCTGGAACCAGTGCCCTCAACCACCAGACTCCCTTCCTCCACCGACACAGGGGCGCAACCCACGGACCAAATATACCCCCGGGTCCACTATGGGGGGTTGAGGGGCGCTTAGCGTGACCCAGCACCCACCACGAGGAGGTGGCCCTTCATGGGTGCCCATTGAATAAATAAGAATCTGAAATGGACACATCTAAAGAAGAGTATGTGCCGGTTGCTGGATGCAGATAAGTGCTTGAGTCGTCATTAAATATACACAAGTCATTATTAGAGATAAAATCTTCAAGTATGTTACCTTTGGCGTTTGCGTGTGAACCTCCCCAGAGTGGGTTGTGGCCATTGAAGTCGCCCATGATAACACAGGGCTTCGGTAGTTGATCATAGAGAGACTGAAGATCAGCCTGTTGAAGTGCTGACGGAGGCGCGATATGTAGAGAACATAAAGTAAAAGCAACACCCAGAGTAAGCCGTATTGCTACAGTTTGAAGGTTAGTTTTGAGTGTAACAGGGCTGTGAATAATATCTTGTCGCACAGGGATAGAAGATCCTCCAGTGGCTCGATCACCCGGAGGAGAAAAACAATGATAGGCTTTACACTGACGTAAGGTAAAATTGTCTGTCTGTTTCAAGTATGTTTCCTGCAGACAAAATACTGATGGTGTTATATCCTGGACTGATAGCTGTATTTCATGGAAATTAGTTCGTAGTCCTCTACAGTTCCACTGCACGATTTGTTTAGAAAAAACTATCTTTTCGGTGGGTTAATAGGGGATCTACCCCTCACCTTTTTCGAGGGCGACAAGCTATGTTCCCTGGAATGGAAGTTTTCTGACACTTCCATGTCCTCAAGCGATCCATATTTATTGTACAATTTGACTGGATTATCTTAACACTTCGGGGGTCTGCCACTCTTTTTCGAAGATTCCGTTCTTGAGTTGGTTTTACTTTGAACATTATTCTTCGAGCTTGTTTTTGCTTGAGACTTTTGAGTTGACTGAGACAAAGATTGTTCTCCGGATACAGATGAAATCTGACTACAGGGCTGTGATGGACCTTTAGTCAGTGAGCGAGTGTTGATAGAAGATGTCGAGGTCTGAGTAGACTGTTCAGGTGCAACAAACTGAGCATTATTAGTGTTAACCCACGTCAAATCTGTTTGGCAATG